CTCCTTTGATTTTCTTGGCCCTTCCGAACAGCGGAGCTGCCCTGGGTTGTGTACCACAAATATGTTTCACAAATCCCGCGTAAACTCAAACAATTATTGCAAGATCTGTTTTATGAATAGATCTTTCCTCATATGTGAAACCAGAACAGCAGCGTCTGAAATGATAATATTCAAAGACTTATCATTTTTAATGAAGACGTTTTTGTTTATAAAGGTTATAAAATTCAGCCCAAGACAAACTTCGACAGCTAAAATAAAAAGGCATCAAAAGGCTTCTATTGCGTAATTTAGACGTATTGGGTAATATAATAAACAGGACCAATTGATTTGGTAGATTAGAGTACAGTGTAATCGAACTGAATGTTCTGGATAAGTTATTAGGCTGGGTATGGCATATGCTGTTTGATACCGTCCTAGTCGGAAGTGAAGAGACCTCTTGTTTACCTTATGCGAGCTGGATGTAATTTAAGCATTTTATTCACTTCGATACGAAGGTCACTAAAGACCTGGACTCATTTTTTCTCGGATATTCAGAACACGCCCTTGCCAAACACGCTCAGTGAAAAGGTCCTCAGGAAAATTTGTAGACGGATGCGAAGTTACGAAGGGACTTATAGGGCATTCAGGTTGTCTGTAGATGCATCAGTTCTTGGGCACATACAATACAGATGTCAGAAGTTATTATTTTTGGCTCCTGTAAAAAAACAGTTTACCAGGTAACTGTCCATGTTCACGAGTGCAACTGTCCAATAACATTTTTAAGCAGTTTACTATGCAAAAGTATGTTCAAATTCTCATTTTCATATTTAAACCGCTTTTTGTTGAAACCTTTTATTGACCCCAGAGAAGGTAACATGTTAACTCCGCCATGTATTTAAAAGTAACATACGAACTTTCAAGGATCCACAATCTTTCGAAAATGTTTTTAACGTATTAAAATTATTTATGAAGCTCCAACTGTCGGGTAATGGAAAGCTTTTTCGGAAAGAATGCATTCTTAATAAACTTGAAAGCCTTGCAGTTTTGATAAAAATATTTATGAGCTGGAGAAATTCTGTGCACGAACCTTTAGGTATTAACCTATATAAACATACTACATCCCGTAAGAAAATCAAAAGGAATAAAATCCAATTTACATTTTATAAAATTTGAATCCATAATAGCTTGTGGTTTTTAAAGGAGAGCGGACAAATCTATTTTTGAGTTTGGCCCTGAGAGTTCGTTTACGGTGCCTGTTATTTCCTGTTACTCTAAAATTTATTGACATTATTATAGTAGTCACGAATAACGAACACGTCTTCCAGGTTGTTTACAGATGCCAGTCGAGAGGCTATCGAAATATCGCGCAATTACAGGGGTATGCATTTATATAGACCCCTGTATTCATTTATATAGACCACTGTATGCATTTATAGTATAGACCCTGTATGCATTTATATAAACCCCTGCATGCATTTATATAGACCCCAGTATGCATTTATATAGACCCCAGTATCCATTT